ACAAATCTCTAGTCCTTGCCCCTGGTAAGAAAACAAGTGCCTGTTTTTTTGAACAACACTCTCTCACTTTTTCCCATCTCTCTTGTGTGCGTCCATCTCTCTCTATCCCCAGGAGCTCCTGTTTTTTCATTTCAGGTTCATTGAGCAAAAGGCCATGCTGCCTGCTTCTTGCTTCTGCTCCTCTTTCTTGCCTTGGCTTCCTTCTACCATCATCGGTCCGCTGGTCCGGGCTTGACTCATACCTTAAGACACTTGATACCTCAGACCTCTTTCCATCTTCTCCTGTCCTGAGGGAGACCATCAGTGGACCAGGGCCACTTGTCTACACATAATGGAGCTCTGAGTCTTGGAGTCAGGTTAGGCCCTTATTGACCTACAAAAAGGGGCAGCTGCTGTTTTTGTGTATTTGTGGGAGAGTGGGTTTGAAAACAGCAACGTTTATCGGTATAAAACAATATCAACAGTGATATTGTTTTTATAAAAATCTAATGTATGAAATTTAACACAACAAATTAAACATATCCTGTATATACATTTAGCCATTTGATTAGAGCAGTCTAGAGATTTAAACATATCCTGTATATACATTTAGCTTTGTTTGCTGGGGTTGGTGAATGGTGATGGCCTTCCTGATTATACCATCAAATTACCTTAAATAATTACAATATGATCTCTTGTGACATTAAAATATAATGTTTCAGTTAATAACCACAGTCCACTCTTGGATTTTTATAGGCCATGGTCACTTGCAAAATACAGTGGAACCTGAAAAAAAAAAAAACAAGAGCACAAGGCAGCATCTTTACAGATGTTAACTTTTCTACTCCTAAGGACCACTCAAAGCTACTGTATTTACAGTTCAGGCTATATCATCTGCCTGAGGCGGCATATAGCATACTCTGAAATCAAACTCACAACTCTGCAGGTGTTTGACAGCATCACCACCTACTGAGCGTTTACCACTACCAAGAATCACTTTAAGGGTTGACAAAGCTGCAGTAGGGCACAATGTTGTTTGGTGAGGTTTGGTTTTACACTGGTTGTCCAAAACCCGACCTTTGTCTGCCTAAACTCAGGGGATATACAGTAACTCACAGGAAAGAAATTCCTGCCTTTTTTTAGCTTGTACTGTAACATTTTATACATCTGTAATAATTACATGAAAGACAAAACCTTCACTGGTAAGTGAAGCTTTAAAGTTCCAATCTGTTACATAAAACAGAGTAAATAAAAGAAACCTCATGTAGGAGGCGCTGTGTAAACATTGATTTTACTTCAGTGTAAAACTGACAGTCACAGGAAAGTAAGTCTTGATGTTCTGTTCCTTCAAGGATTAATACTGATCCTTGCTACAAGCAAATCCTGGGTTGCAAATAGGCGGCCAAATGTTTCAAGCAGCTGTCCGTTCTACCAGACTTTCCTTTTTGTACACCGCAGCACATTTTAGAGAATAATAACTGAAAAGGAAAAAAATGTTGCCAGACATGGAGAGAAAGTGTCAAACAAGAAAAAAAAATAGAGACACAGACAGAGACATGTTCACTCATCTAATTTGTACAAATGCCTCAGTTCTGTGTTTTGATGAATTCCAGTGCCACACTGCACATGTGCTAAGCCTTACAAGCAATCATCAGGCAGCTGCTTACAATGCCGGTGGGACAGTGGAGAGACGATTGACCAAAAGGCACTCAGACAGCAAATGAGACAAGATAAGAACACGCAACATGCTAAAAAAAATTGCTTGAGGATGCTGGAGTGAAAATTTTCATTACCTATTTTATCCAAACTCTTTGCTCCTGCTCCCTTGGTGTGCACAAGAGCCATTCTGGGTAATTGACGTATTTTTAATTTCTTCCTACTTCATGTGGTCTTTGATCCTTCTGGCCTGGGGGAGTATTGGGAGGTGTTATATCTGACGAACACGCCGTGCAGCTTTTTCTGTGACCGCCACTGTAGCAACACTGATTGCACGCTGTGGGGAAGAAAGCTCAGTGGGGATGCACATTAAAATCAACTGTCGAAGGAAAAAAAAAAATCTCCTTCTCTGAATAACATTGAGGAAATCAGGACTTTTTGTCAATGATTGGGAAACATAAACTAAATTTAAGTTTTGCAGGTGCTTGGAAAATGATCTTGTTTGTTGCTTTTGTAGGAGAGGGTAAAGACATTTTACGCAGTACTTAGCATACTGCCTCCCCTGGGTAAATGTAATATTGTTCCTCACAAAACTTTGAACTATATTGTATTCACACCGAGGTATTTCTTAAATGGCAGGTGAGAATGTTAAGCCTTGGATATTGTCCCTATTTCAGTAGAGGTCCTAGAATATCACCTGGGATTCATTCAGCACTTTGGACAGTTCCGTTATGCCCAGATCCCCGAAGGGATCCATAATTCATAGCTGTGCATCCTGGATGTCACTGCTCCAGCAAGCTAACATTAAATATTTAGCCCAGATCATAAGCTGCAGCCGTTTCGGCCTGCCAGCCACTTTAGGAGGAGTGTTTTCTGTCCCAGCATCCAGGGGGAATCCCAAATGAGCCTGGTGACTGGGGCTGCTTTCAAATATTTGAAAATCAATCATTCTGGGGAAGGATTTCATAAGTCATACTGTAAAGGCAAACTGCACAGGAGGCTTAATGCAGTGTACACAGCATTTGACACTGTGCTGTGTATAATCTCTCATCTTTACTGCTCTGCAGCTGTAATTTGAGCTAAGCACTAGCTTTAGGTACCCTTTACTTTTTATGTAGTTTCTATTTGAATCTTTTATTTTCTCACTTCATGGTTCATGGATCTGCTTTCCAGATAAGGAACAGCAGGGGGTTAAACCCCCCATGGATGAGATGAAGGTCAGGTCAGAGGAGGAGGTTGTAGCAGGAGCAGTGGGTCAGACTAGAATGTTGCTCTGTGTTTGGTATTGATCGTAAGAATTACCGTTATTACTGATTTATCACTGCAAATACCATAGGAGCTGTAGACAAAATGTCAAAGATGAAAATACAACTGCAACACCATAGAGCAAAAAAGTGGCAGCCATAACCGTTAGAACCAACAGTGCTAAATTTCTGGGCAAATAACCTCACTCCTATTACAGTAAGTAGAATATCACCTCAGTGTTAAAGTAAATGTATCCATTTTCCTATATAACCCTTTCCAATGGGGTCATTTCTCTACTGAATTAGTCTAAGAGCAGATTAAATCATCACATTTAGTAAAGATTCTTATACTATCGTGGTAGTTGCATTACAAGACCCAAGGAAAATCCGCGAAATAGTTTTTATATTATTTACGTATATATTTACCCACATTTATCTCCCTCCCCCTCCACACACACACACACACACTGTTATCAACCCTAGACTGTATTACCCTTTTCTACACAATTATATACACAAATTAGTTGTATTATGGAAATATGACATAATTATTATATTACGTAGATAAATAAACTAATCGACAATCGAAAAACAATGTTAAATACATTCTAATTATAAAAAAAAAAAAAAAAAATTAAAATTCAATGTACATGCACATTGGGGGTGTGGCGGAGGTTAGCGCTCATCTGCAGGAGAAGTAGAGAACCGGAGAGGCGACGCAGGTGCAGCTCCGGACGCAGGTGAGCGCAATTGGAGTAATCAAGCCTCTCCTTAGACCAGTAGGAGCTGGGACCAAGGAGAGGAGCAGTGGACGGAGAAGTGCATACTAGCCAAGACGGACGGGTGAAGTGTATGTGAAAGCCGGGCACAGCGCAGGAGTGAAGATTATTGTAAAGAAAAATAAAGGTTAACTGTCGTCTGTGTCAGCGTCTTCGGTTGGGCTTCGTAACAGAAGAATGAGAAGATTATCAGAGCGTTTAGGAGGCATCGTAGGGCGTTAAATTAGGGTCAACCTTCACCAAACACAAGAGCACAAACGTATTTAACGGTGCAAAGTGAACGAGTGTCGGACAGACAAAGGGAGATACAGCGTGAGGAACAGAAGAGCATGCTCAATGCAGTGTTCGATCTCCTCTAGGTAAACAAAGCTACCGGCGATGTCTTTTAGTTTATTTTTTGCTATAATTTTACTGTTTAATGTTGGGGGTTTTATCACGAAAAATAATGAAATATTGGACATTAAAAAATATAATTTACTGTAAAATACTCAATTATGATCATGACTGACTGACTGGAGGACACAAGGCAGTATTGACAGAGAAAGGAAGGGAGCAGCAGATAAAGGTATAGTGCCAAGGGAAAGGATATATGATTAGGAGAGCATCCATTCAGAACACACCATTTACATCTGAATTGTCAACCACTCAGAAGTAATAACAAAATATTGATTTTAAACAATATCAATAGGGCTGTAAAATTAGTTCTTAGAATTAGAGTTGAGAATTTCTTTCTCACCGTTGCATAGATAAGTGAAAGACAAAGTAATGCTGTGATAGAGACAACACACCAGGTATTAGCTCAACCTGAAGGAAAAGAAAACAACGTAAACTCATTTATCCAGACACTGCTTCAACATCCAAGTGTGAAGACGCTGTAGTTTTCTGACAAATATTATTTGTCTGCCAAAACACTGACCAAAGGATCAGTGGGGCTACAGATATCCAATTAAAAGCTCATGTTTTAATGCAACGCTAACACTTTTCTGGGCGAACAATCAAGAAAAGTATGAACCATGGAGATATGTCAATATTTCTTCTGTGCACAGTCAGCGCCAACAAAGTGTTTACACGTTGTAGATCGATGAACCTAATGCTGCCTGAACAGTGTAATTAAACGTTTAATGCTCTTTTCAGCCGTTGGATGTAGTGTGACACAAACTAGACTTAACACTAATTAGGCAGTCTATTCTGCTATGTTATAGGTTTTTTTTCTGAGTTTTCTTTGACATTCACGCCAACCTCTCCAGGTTTCACCCATGCACTGACTTTTCTTTGTGTTTTTCTTCTGGTGGTGAACTTATTTTGTGTGTGTGTGTTTTTCTTTTTTTTGTCCCCTCTGTAGTGCCATCACACTGGACAACACACTGGTTATCCTGTCTACTGTGGCCCCAGATGCCGGACGTTACTATGTCCAAGCTGTAAATGACAAGAACGGAGAGAACAAGACAAGCCAGCCCATCACCTTGTCAGTAGAGAGTAAGTCAGCACCTAATGTCTGCAAAACAAGCACCATGATATCATCAGGGCGGTAGAAGATAAGGCAATAATATTGAGTTTTTAAGATTAAGATTAAGGGGGGCAATGTGAAGGAAGTTACCACTGAGTACTTCAGATGATGAGATGAATACTTCAAAACAACAAGCTTTTTTTGACAACATACTGTATGTCAAACAAAACATAGTAGTCCTACTGTACTTTACCCATAGACCAACATCTCTAAGAGACCCTTAGATCATTGCAATAACAACAAACAAATGTTTGCTTGAAACAAGAATATTTGTCTACCCCTGTGTTTATAAGAGTGATAAAAATTCAAAGAATTTTTCTCAAGGTACATTTGAATTGCAAATATTGAAACTATGCACTTACTCAGAATAAATATAATAATTAATTGACAGCCCAAAGCCAGATACAAGGTTAGACCTATTTTTTACCTTAAACCTTATTCCAAGAACAGTTACTTCATAACAGTAATTTCCCTTTATCAAATGAGTGTATAACATAGTGTGGCATCATAAAGGGCCCTTTATTTTAAGGGCATTCACTAAAATAACATTTCACATTTCCACAGATTTAAGATTTAGATCCATCTGCCACAACCGTGAGACACCTGAGAGACTCAGCTTTTGATTACATTCATTGTCATTGTACTAAATCTATATGTAGCTACAGTCACACAGTGTTGCAAACATGCACACAGAGGGAGGAGAAGCTGCAGAGACAGTGGCACAGACAGACTGTACTGCTGCCAGATGCTTCTTAATATTCACCAGCAGCTGTAGCTCTGACAATAACAACACACACAAAAAAAAACACAAGATACACAAATCATAACCAATTCAGTTGGCTCCGGCTCAGCAGAGTGAAATATAAGATGAAACCTGACAGACAGTATCTTATGACATGGTGGACTGGACTTCACTATGGAAGTGAAAAAGGAGGGTGAGGGTTTGATATTAAAGTTGACAACACAAGGTAGCAGAAATAGCCTTTGGCACGTATGTAGAAGAGTTGATTATAGTAGTGCTAGGACACACACATACTCTCTTTCGCTCACACACTCACACAGGTTCAACAGAGGGCTCAGCGGGAGGTCTAAGCCCAGCAGGTCTGGTGGAAACATGTCATGCATTTACATGTATCCTATACACTGCACACAAATTTCCAGGCTGCTGGAAGGGCCAGCACTGAAGTTCGCACACGTTTGAGTGACTGCTTGCTTTTTTATTGTATGTGTGCGTATATTTGTCAGTATCTGCTACAGCAGCTGTTCCTCCAGTGACGCCTTTGACACTGCTCTTCCCATGAGCTCTTGGCTCCTGCAGTAACTGGCTCAAGACCTGGTAGTAGCCAAAGACAAGGAGAAGCCTAACGAGGAATGTGCTGTTCGTGGTCCACTCAAAATTAGGTGTTAAAGGTCAATTTGAAATTCAAGAAGACTCAAAGATGGTCTGTTTGGTCTCTGACACTTTAGTTGTGGTGGTTGAAAAGGTGGTCTTATACCTAACATAAATAGAATACCAAATTTCCACGTGTCCCTCAGATAGCTGGTTTACTGATGATTAACTGCAGTGGGCACAGGCATTAACACTTGGGTTCCTGGAGCCTTGACTGACCGGTCTGAAATATAAAAGCAGACTTGGTATACATAAGAATGACATCAGTATTCTTACTGCATGTAAGTCAAGTGTATGTCAAAACATAAACTATTCTATTAACACATTGGAGAAATGTAGCTGCAGTGTGCCTGTGACAAGCAGTCAAACCGTGGACATCTACGGTGTGCGTGTGTGTTGGACTGTATTTAAGGCTGCTGTGCACTGCATCTAATGGTTCAAGATTTGTAAGAATGGGCCTTGACAGCCCCTGTAGCTACATCTGACATGTGCAGCCATGAGCACACTCCTAGGGCATGATAGGATTGATGGATCAGTGTGAGTATATCACAGCCATGACACATCTCAGACAGCACACACACACACTTGCACACTCACACACTTTTCCTGCTCTTAGTGACACAGTCTGACATCGGTTTCTGATGCTCACAAATCATACGCAAGCAATCACGTAGAGACATAAATGATTTTCTATATAAAAAGGTGGATGTCCGTGCACATGTGCATTTGTGTTATTGTACCCTGGCTTATAGAGAGATCTGCTCCATAAAATGGAGATGGAACTGTATTTAATTATTTAATTAAACAGTGTTTCGCCTCTCTGACCCTTTTGTGCAAATATTTATACCTGTGTCTGTGTCCAGATGTCGGTGGTCCTGCCGACCCAATTGCTCCAACCATCGTCATCCCTCCAAGGAACACGAGTGTGGTCTCAGGCACCTCAGAGGTCACAATGGAGTGTGTGGCCAATGCCAGGTAAACTTGCTTATGGACTTGTTTGTTGAACAGTCGGTTTGCTCAAATCATTCAAGGTCAAACGCCACGGGAGATTTTTTTTCATGGAAAAATACAACATTATTCATTATCAGAACAAGTTGTGTCATACTGTTAGCTTAACCTGTTACTCGGACAATTTCTAGAAAGAGAAATAGACAAAATAAATACTAAAAAAGAATAATCATGGATTCTGTGTTTTTAATATTTTATTTATTTATTTGTATTCATTATTTGTGTTGTCAGGAGCTTTGAGAGACATCTAAATTTTGTTATATTTGTATAATGGCAAAATTCTATTCTATCCTTATTAAGACAACAGTTAATCCTGAAAAGCCTCAACATAGATTTTATGTTTCTCTAAAACTACGGTAGAATTTGCTAAATGTTTACTTGGAGGTTAGCCTAAATGAAATGAAGCTGGAGTGTACAAAAGATGAGTGATTCAAATGTGATTACATATGACCTGCAGAGGTGGAAACCTATGAAACCTGTGCAGAATATATACTATCCACTTTCACACATGTTGTTCCTGCATGTACATGCAGAGCTGCCATCACAACGTCACTGCATGCTGTACATATACTTTTTTATATTCTGTGCACACTTGCCTGAAGGACTACATACCGATCATCATTTGTGCTCACATTTGCAAGGATAAAGCATCTTCCTACTTGCAGAATCCAGTAAGGCTGCAAATGCTGTGACTCCCTGACATATGTATCTGGATTTTACAGAATTATTTAGATGTTTTTTCCCTTAATCTCAAACCACAAAAACATGAATAAAAGCTGTCTGCTGGTCATCTAACTGTTTTATTTAATACAACATTGATGCCTTTTTTCCCTAGAGAATTATCATTGCATCATATCATCCAACAAACAAAAATACTTCATGTTATTCCAGTGCTTCTGAGCATATTTATATGTCCTCTGCAGGCCTCTCATCAAGCTGAGCATCTCCTGGCGTAAAAATGGTCTGTTGGTGAACAGCGGTCTTAGCGATTTCAACCGCAGGCTGACCATCCTCAGTCCTGTGGTGAGTGACTCTGGATACTACGAGTGTGAGGCCATTCTCCGCAGCAGCAGTGTGCCTTCAGTCAGCGCCTCGGCTTATCTGCATGTACTGGGTGAGTAAAATCTGAACATTGTTTGTCAATGAACACATACAGCTATGACCATAGTTTTTCTTGTTGTATACATCATAGCACAGCAGTAACGTAGACCGACAACCGTCAACGTCTTGGTCCTACATAAACACATCATTTTTTTCACATTCTTTTAGTCCAAAAGAGCAGATATTTTATTTAGTTTATATAGTCTGTGTTTGGTTTTTGACGTTGTATTCTTTTGTGTTTGTTTTGATATTCCCAAGCTAAATATCTGACTATCATTATAATACAAAGATTTCAACAAAAAAGCAAAAACATTAGCTTTTCAAAGTAGCTTTTCAGACATCTTAAGCAGAGTCTGATTTTGAATATGATGAATGTCAATTTATCGTTCTAAAAGTAGTTACATCAAGAGCAACTGGACTGGTAGATTTTTCACCTCTCATCTAGGAGACTTCTACTGAAAAAGCCTCTTGGATGAGAGTTGAGAGATGACCTGGGTGACTGAGAAGCTTTACAGTCAATCTATGATTCTTACCAAGGTCTGTGCTGTGCCAGGGCAGTCAGTGGAGAGGCTAAATAATTTTTGTTAAAGCTCTCAGTCTTCAAGAAACTGTTTAACAGCATTGCTTAAGTTGCTCTCATTCCATTTCACTCAGACGCTTTGATGTTTTCAAGGTTGTGAAGTGAATGAAAGCACGAGGTGTGTTGAATGTTTCCACTCCACTTCTTCTAACCAGGCCTGTGTTTAATGCTATTACACAGCGCCAATTACTGATTTCTTTAATCAACCACCGTGTAATTCAATTTTTCATCGCTCTATGTCATTTTTTTTTTTTTTTTTAAATCACGGCAATAATAGTTCAGGTTATACGCGTTGCATAGAACATTGTTTAAGGCCCTGTGAGATTCATACCCTGAAATCACTTTTTTTATTATTCAGCCCACTCTCTGAGCACCAGCGGTTACATCAATATACTTCATGCTCCTGTTTTCCTTCTTCATGCATTCTCTCAGAGCCGCCAGTGTTTATAAAGGAACCAGACAAACACATTACAGCCGAGATGGAGAAGGTGGTGGACATCCCCTGTCAGGCACGAGGTGAGCACTGATTTAAAAGTAAGATATGTGACACGACAGCTGCTAGAATTTAAAACAGGCACTGAGATCCAATTCAGAAGCCTTCCCTCCAATGTCTCAGAAAAAAGAACATGGAGCTTCACATAAACCTGCTGTTACAGTCAACGTATTTGGTTAATTTTTAGGTATTTATGGTCAGTGTCAATCTGGTCCGAGCCATATAATCAACAACATACGTGGATTTCTCAATATGCAACAGATTTTCAGTTCACAAATGTTACATATATACAGTTCAGATCTATACTGGTGTGGATTGTGTTAAAAAAAAACTTTTATTGTAACCTCACATGTCACTACTGAAAAAGGAGGTTTTAAAAATCCCAACCATTCTGCCCCATTAGAGATTACAAGCCTTAGTTTTAACATCGTACATTAAAATGCATATGTGGGCTGGATTTGGTTTATTCCGGAATAAAGTGATGGTGAGAAAATTGGTCTAGACAGGTGAATCCCACAAGATCACAATAAACTAACCAAACTACTAACTAAACTAAACATCAACAATTATTTTGGGGGGGAATAAGAAGAAAGTTAACAGACTAAGACTAACGACAGAACAATATCAAAACAATGCAATAAATATACGATGTGTATTTGTGTGTCTCGCTGTATATTTTTAACCTCCTTCTGTGCAGGAGTGCCTCAGCCTGACATCGTCTGGTACAAGGATGCTTTGCCCATCGACCCAGTGAAGACACCCAGGTACAGGGTGCTGCTGGGAGGCAGCCTGCAGGTCAACGGCCTCCTGCCTGATGACACTGGGATGTTCCAGTGCTTTGCCAGAAATCCAGCAGGAGAAGTTCAGACCAACACATATCTGGCTGTTACCAGTAAGAGCTCTTTAATAAAAGATAACCAATAGAAATTTGTTGCAGAAACAAGGAAATGTGTTATTGCTTACATGTTTTCCTTCCTAATCTAATCTTTTCACACAAGGGAGATTCAGTCCCACTCAGGGACAACAAAGGGTTTATTAATTTCATATGCCTTTACCACATACAAAGCCTGTGTGTGCTATACACTAACAGTCCATGAAGTCTGCATCAATTAAATTCAGATCACATCAAAGAAATTCTTGCAGTTCTTCTGTGCTTATTCCATGTCGACGGAAATGTTCAAATCACAGGTGATTGTACTTTAGCTGTGCATCCGTTTGACTTCTCCCTGACATCTAATTTCCTTCACTTTGTCTCAGTGCCTTTGCACTGCACTGCACCGCATTATCAGAATTCATGATATCCCCCGTCGCTAACTCACCCATTCCATTTCTACCACTCTCACACTCTCACCCACACCGTCTCCTCTTTTCCTCTACTCCCTAAATCTAATCTTATCATCTCTTTTTCCTGAAAACATTAATGTCCCTGCTTCTGCTTCTGTCCTACTCTTTCTGTCCTCAGATTAACACCACTCCTATGACAAACTCCCGTCTCCGCCTGCTCCTCCCTTCCTTGGGGAGTGATATGGTTTTCTGTCATCCTATAAAAGCTTTGATTTATTGCATATCTCAGATAGGGATTTTAGTTATCTACATATTGTCTTCTCTGTCTGTGCTTCTCCCTCAGTGGTTTTCCTCTACTGCTCCCCCTTCATCCTTACTCTCTGTGGGAGCAGACGTATAAGAAACAGAGCAGTAGTAGACGGTTACTGGCTCTGAGGTGAAGTCTGTGCCAATCCGCAAAGAATTAAAAGGACAAAGCAGTGACTAAACACTGTCATGCAGCTGACTGCTGCTTACAAAGAAAAAGCATTTGAGCTGGGGTTCTGCCAGAGACTGTTATTCACTCGTCTCAATAAACCTCTTACCTTCTCTTGTTACTGAGCTGAGCTCTCCTTTTTCATATACACTAATGTGCTTGTGTTTGTGTGTGTTTGTCTTTCCTCAGGCATAGCCCCGAACATCACAGCCGGACCCTCTGACAGCACAGTGATTGACGGAATGTCCATCATCCTCCACTGTGAGACCTCTGGGGCCCCAAGGCCGGCTATCACATGGCAGAAAGGTGTGTGCTACACATATGCACCGTCACACCTAGGGATTATGGTGTTTGTTATCTATTACACATGGGACCGTAGTCTGCTGTGGCTTAACAAATAAAGCCTGATTGGATTCCTTTACCAGGGTTTACTGCGTGCCAGGCTTTTTATGTTTGCATCCCAATAGCAGATCAAGAAACCGCTCGGCTGAAATCCTTCTCCTCCTGCTGCGCCTCTCTCTACTCCTGTGTCCTTTCCATCTACTGACTTGTTTCCTCTCTTTCTTTTCAGGTGAGCATGTTTTGGCCAGTGGCTCTGTCCAGCTGCCCAGGTTCACCCTCCTGGAATCAGGCAGCCTGCTCATCTCGCCCTCACATATCTCTGATGCCGGAACGTACACGTGCATGGCGAGCAACTCCAGAGGCATTGACGAGGCGTCCGCTGACCTGGTGGTCTGGGGTGAGCACACACAACAGGATGTTTTATATTCAAGTTAAAGCACAAGTTTTGCATCAGGCTGCCCAGCAACGTTTCACACTCGTTCAAAGGAAGTCACTTAACAGTGTTGATGTTTTATTTAGAGTCTTTTTGGCAGAGGCTGGAAAAACAGGCCAATGCTGTAAAATAATAAAGCTGCCCTCAGTTCTTTAGGATAGAGAGGCACTCTGGTGTGCAACTACAGAGTGGTTCTCCGCGAGTAGTCATCAAGGAACAAAATAAAAGACCACAGCATGTCATTTCAAGCGAAATGAGTTTTCTCAGATTCGTTTGTCATTTTCTCTTTTGTGTTCCTCTTTCAGAGAACTACATATTGCAGGTTGTTTTTTGTCTTTTTTTTTCTTCATCTTTCATTCTCTCTCTCTCTCTCTCTCGCTTTCTCTTTCCGTAGCTCGTACAAGGATTACCACCCCTCCCCAGGACCAGAGTGTTATCAAAGGAACTAAAGCGATCATGACTTGCGGAGTCACACATGACCCTAGTGTAACTGTCAGGTAAAGCCTTGGTCACAATAATTAACCTAGTTATTATTACTATATATACTACATACTATAATAACTATAGTAGTTATTACTGTGGTTAAACATTTGTGAACACACAACTATAAAAGACAGAAAGCTTTGTTCTGCTTATAGATCTACCTCTATTAGTAGAAAACTTTCCTTCTTGCACCAGTGTTTAATATTGGGATTTTGGTGAGAAATAGTTGTGAAGTGTTGTGAGAGGTCCACACAGACACCGTCTGTAAGATTTAAATATGCCAGCACTAAAACATGAGACATATGTGTCACACCTTTAGTTTACAACTGCAGTTCAACCCAGGATAGCACAAGACTATCACAGCAGACGAATAACTGAACACCAAAGCCAACATCACTCCAGAGACCATTCTGTCTCTCAAAGAAGGAGGCTTCATCGGAAGCTACTGACGTTAGTGTTGTGTAGTTTTGATGAGCAGCCACCAGCGGGCTAGGATGTTCTCTGCTGGAGAGTTTGAAGAGACAGAGGAAGATGAAACGCTGTGATTTTGACGTTCATCTCAGATTATCATTGAACAAAAGATGACGCAAAACCCAGATTATTGAATTCTTCCATTGATGTGACCAGTACTCAAAAATGCAATGCACTCAAAGTTTTAGAGAAACTGTTCATAATAATTAACTAATAGTAATTTCTGCATTGCCATTTAGCTGTAACAAATTTAATGGAAGTCAAATAGCTGTTAGTCAACTGGGGATATTGACAGGAATAATTTTTGTGTGTTTCTTGAGGTTTGTTTCACAGGTAGAAAAGATGTGAGTGCTAATCGTGTGATCACATACTGTGGTGTCAAATCCAGCAGAAACTGTAAAAGTGTACTGTCCTACTCTAATGAACAGAAATCAGTTTATATTATTAGACTGCAGCAGGCTGCAAGTGATCACTGAATATACACCAAGCTGTTCACCCAGGAGATTAATTGGAGTGGGTTATTAAGATACTGCAGTAACCTGATTAATGAGTTATGGATTTATTAGTCATTACTTTTAATTACATTTGCTCTTACTGACACATAATGGTATTGGTTTACTGAGTCTGGATTGAAATGATTATAGACAGATTTTTAAGTTTCCCAGTTCAGTTCACTAATATCACGTCCACAGTAAGGCTGCTCTATTGTGTTAACTGTTTGTTTTTATTTTTACATTTAAAAATGTCTTATTGACCATAGGATAAAGGTAGTGATTGTAGAGATGGATGGATCAATAGATATATAAGTATGATGGAAATTTTTATTATTGTTATTTTTTGAAATAGTAACAATGTCTATAGTGAAGTTGGCATTGATGAACAGGACAGTGTCAACATCTCAGCTGACTAATGACATTCTGTTCTAGACATGTCTGGGATAAGGATGGCATCGTGATCAACGTGCAGTCTATTCCTCGCATGCGGATGGATGCAGATGGTACCCTCCATATCTCCCAGACCTGGTCCGGTGACATAGGCACATACACATGCAGAGTCACCTCTGTTGGTGGAAACGACTCCCGTAGTGCACATCTCCGTGTCAGGTAACTCCACCCCTTCTTTAAATGTATGTCCCCCATTGATCATACAAAAAACACGGGCAAAGCTACCTGTTTGAAGGCCAAGCAGCAACAACAAGTGAAGGCGCAAAAAAGAACCCAAAGGGTTGAATTTGTGTGTATGTTGTATTGAGTAAGTGAAAGCATCAGTTAAAACAACAATCCTTTTCTGGAATTCTTCAGAGTAAATTCCCAATAGGAACACTTTAGGTCTGCACTTTAGGCTTTACTTAAAGCTTTGAACGACTTCTCCATTTTTTTAACAGTCCTTTTTTCCTCATTTATCATTTTCTTTCTACTTGTGTTTGTTGAATACTTTAAAACCCACTGGAGTGAAGGTGTCCGAAGCCGGACAGTTTTCACATTCACACACACACACACACACACACACACAAACAAAACGAGAGAGAGATACAAATGTGTGACCATCCTGTTACTTCTTACTGTCAAGTCTGACTCATCGCCACTTAAACGATGCCTGTTCATCCTCACCTCTCGTGCACTTTTTACCTTTCTACACACTTCCAGTCCCTGGGGACATCCTCCTCCGTCCTCACTGTATGACACTACACACACTCACACAGACAGACTCCTATTTATTGTTTTCTATGTCATGTCGGGGCCTCTCCTTTCTCCGAAGTTTTTTTTGGTACTGATTCTTAGGGTACACAGTGAGTCAATGCAGCAAGACTCAATTTAAACTTTAACTTTCTGTTTGACACACAATTTTGTCTTTAGTTGCTGACCTTCTTACTGACCAGCAGCTTTTTGACCGAGTTACAGTCTTCCATCGACTGTAAGGTTTACTTGAATTTGTCTCTGCTTATGTGAATTTATGGCTGGATTAGTGAACAACCCTCAGCTGTGGCCTTGATCATTCATGCCCTCGTACACTATTTCCTACCTGTCTTCGTATGCCTTTCAGTCAATTTCTCCCCCCTTTGGTGATATCCATCTTGTTCTGTCTATCCCATGTGTCCATTTTGACAAGGAACCATCTCCGCTGTCTTGTTCCACCATATTTTATCATGTATCTAACTGATGTCTCTGTTATAAAAGATCCATCTTTGGCTCAGAATCATTTGAGGGGAGACGTTAAAGAGAAGAACGACAAGCTGTGCAGCTCTCAGACACTGTGGAGGATGTGCCCTGAAAGGATAGGTTCTTTTATTTATCAAAGTTGTCATTCTGCACCCCTCAGGCAGCTGCCCCATGCCCTGGAAAACCCCAAAGCTATGCTGAGCACATCTGAAAAAAGAGCCATCGACCTGGTCTGGGCCAAACCTTTTGACGGCAACAGTCCACTCATACGCTACATCCTGGAGGTGTCTGAGAACAGTAAGTCATGTCTAACATTCATCTGTGTCTTTTTTATCCTGCTGCGTTATCATGAGGGGTGAGACTGACTGAGAGTGACTTCAAATATTGGTACTTGGTACACTGAAAACATACTGATCCAGTGTTCCAAAGTCAAAGATGTCTGTACGTATCATATGAAAAAAATGGTATCAGGACAAATTTATTTTTAAGATATTTATTATTTGAGATGTTGCTAATTTTATCAATAATGTACCATGGGACAAATGCTGCAGCTCAATGCTGCAGTAAATTTAATAGGATTTTTTGCACAGCACGAAAAGTTCTGAATTTTCATCATTGAATCATCATCATCAAAATAACTGCTTTAAAAGAGAAAAAAAAAACTCTCTTACAATTTTATCCGGAAGAGGAATATGTTTGACTAGTCATTTTAAGGGAGTTGATTTTAAAAGGTGAAGTAAAAAAAAATGTTGCTTATGTCAATAAACCATAATCGTCTTTGCTTGGAACAAGGTGTAAAACTTTAACTCTCTTTGATTTCAGATGCTCCCTGGGCCATCCTGCTGGCCAGTATTGAGCCGGAGTCCACGGCAGTGACGGTCAATGGTTTGATCCCGGCACGCTCCTATCAGTTCCGCCTCTGTGCCGTTAATGATGTGGGCAAGGGGCAGTTCAGCAAGGAGACAGAGCGGTGAGCTAAAGAGATATCACACCAAAATGGAGAATTTACCATCCACAGTCACTGAGCGTGTCAAACTCTGTTTTTTTTAATCCCTTCTTTTGTTAGAAGAGTCACTAAAACACTCGTCTGTGCACCATAGTGTACAGTGTTACACAAGCAGTAGCAGTGACAAATGGTGGAAAAGTCCATAAAATGACTAAAAGTGGAACTGAACTGCATTATTATAAAATGTACAGGAGCAGCATAGGAAGTCTTTTTGTCCTTCAGCCAATACTGCGTTGAAGGGAACTGATGTGCTTACACACAAACATGAACCTTGATCATATGTAAACACAAGTTTGTGCGCACCTACATCTGCTGGTGGGGGTTTCTCACATTCTAAAAGCTGCGGAAGGATTTAGGTTTCATGTGCGATTCTGTTCGGCCTTATTACAACCTAACACCTCTGCCATCACCTTCTTCCACCTCCTCCTCCTCCTCTATTTGTGGAGGTCTTAAGAACATGTGCTAAAACGAAAAAAGAAGCAGCCATGCCTTTTCCACTTTGTACAGAGGAATGCATTAAATGAATGTGCAACTTGAACACCTAAAAAGAAGAGGACTTGTGTGTTTGTCACAGGGGAGTTGCTATAGAACCGTTTTGCCATTTGCTCCTGCCACATATCCGACTCCCATATCTCATTTACACTTTCTCCAAAGGCCCGTAGGCACTGTGCATTAAAAAGAGCTATTTGTTTTTGAAGTTGAGGCTGATTGTTAATGAGTGTTAGGAGCTCCAGACTGAGGACTGTCTCTGAGATAAACAAGATCTTAGTTTGAGGTTTAAGGTGTTTGACTTCAGTTCGTTTCCCTCACAGTGTCACTCTACCAGAGGAGCCACCGAGTGCTGCCCCTCAGAATGTCATCGCTAGTGGGCGAACCAACCAGTCCATCATGATCCAGTGGCAGCCTCCACCTGAAAGCCACCAAAATGGCATCCTGAGAGGTTACATGATCCGGTAACACAAACCTTTTTTTTTTCTTTGAATTCTAAAGAACAGATAATTCTATTAGAACAAATAACCTTACAGCCAGCAGATGAGTAGTTTGATTGTATTGAGGTGTGAATGTTAGTGTAAATGCTTGTTTGTCTCTGTGTGTGCCCCTGTAATGGACTGGAGAACTGTCCAGTGTGTCCCCTGCCTTTGCTTGATGATTGCTGTGATTGGCTCCAGCCCCCACCTAAACCTTGAAATGTACAAAGCAGTAAAAGATGAATGAATAAAATGATATGGTGTGGCATAGAATGTCATTTTATAATTTTTATTCCACCTTTTACCACAAATGCAACAGTAAAATCACATGCCCCCGCAGTTTATCTACATATCTGCATACCCACCCACCCAAATTAGTCCATTGTCTTATAACAGTGGGCTGCAAGATTAAAGTGAAATATGTTGCTTTCCACTCAAGACCTCCAACAGTGTTACATCACACCACTGCTATTAAAAATAATGAGTTTGACAGAAAAATAGAGTTTAATAAGTGGTGTGTCCAAAAAAAAAGTTTATTAACATAGTCAACCAGCTACAAGACACACTGTCTGTAAACCATGTACACATGTAATTAGCTTTGCTTTCCATGGCTTTTTTATCCTTTCCCAATTATATGAAGCAGACTACAGTCGGTGCTGTCAGGGGGTCTTTTAATTGCCTTTTAAACTGGTGCGCTGTCTCCCCCTACCAGGGGCTTTGGCATACTGCAGTCATGACTCAAAGGTTTTGGCAGTATGTTTCTTCTTCTTCAAAGACCTGGTTTCTTTTGTTGTCCATAATTACAGGTACCGTCTCACTGGTTTACCAGTCGACTACCAACATAAAAATATCACCAGCCCAGATGTGACCAACCTGCTGCTGGAGGATCTAATTATCTGGACTAACTATGAGATCGAGGTGGCTGCCTACAATGGAGCAGGTCTGGGTACATTCAGCCACAAGGTCACTGAGTGGACCCTGCAAGGAGGTGAGGGGACTTATGATTGATTTAGAAACATTCCACTGTGATTCAATTATTTACCATGCAAAGGGGCAACAAAAAGACTCAATTATTTTAATTTCAACATATTCTTAATTTATGCCACAGATAGAAAAATGATCTGATTTGTAATGTTATGACAATAATGTTCAATAATAGGCTGTTCTGTGTTCTAACGTCTAACATAATGTAGGTGAAAAATAAAGGAAATGGGATTTTATAACAGCAGAAGAACAGAGTGATGCCTCACCTTAAATCCATAAACAGCTCATCCTGTCACACACTGTCACATACTCCTGGTATTAGATGTTAGTGTCATCAGAAAGTGATGGCAGCGTCTGCCCTGACCTGTGCCTCACTGATCAATACTGACATCAAAATATACGCAGGCAGGCTTTCACACACTGACAGACTTGTGTTTTTTGGCCTTCAACTTCTACTCTTCTCCTTCTCCCTTAGAACTCCTCATAGTCTGACACTTTTCTTTGTTTTTCTGTGCATCGCAGTTCCCACCATTGCCCCCGGAAACGTTCAGGCCGAGTCAGTCAACTCCACAACTATTCGCTTCATGTGGACAGCTCCTAACCCTCAGTTCATCAATGGCATCAACCAGGGCTACAAGGTCAGTAGCTCCCGAATTGCCATCTCAAGCAGCCATCACTTTCATCGAGTGATCTGTCAGAGGAGAACTTGTAGAATCATGTATCCAGTGTAGCAAGACAGCGAGAAGAGCCATGGGGCGAAAGATATTTGTTGCCATTTTGAACGATGGACTGGGTCTTCCCATTTGTCAGTCTGAGGTCATTCTCTTTATCTGTCCCACCATTTTTCATATGTTTTATTGTGAAGCTGCGTGTGCAGAGTGATTAATGTCTTCATTATTTTGTCACTGGCTCTTGAATGGAGTCCATCTCTCTGTCTCTTATGTATACTTCACTGAAACAAATGTCAGCCACAGGGAATCATAAAACCACATCCGTGGTATGGTTTTATTTTTCCACCGACTCTGTCGAGACTTAATTATGTCATGGCTGGGTTGTTCCTTTTTTCACTCCATTTTGTCTCTTTGTATAATGACACTCTATAGGCCTTACGACGTGACAGTCATTTTACTGTACAAACTAGATGCACCAATATCAATACTAGTATACTGCTGTATATTTTTTCCTCCAGTGTCTCTATGCCCTGATGGTTATTTTAGTATCTCAACAATGTCAGGTACATAGGCAGGAGATTTACTGTAAGATTTGTTCTGTTACAATCAGCAGTTTAACAAAACACTGCCTTAGCTCTGAATACACTTATGTATCTTATTAGTTACATTGGATAAATGAGACTTTTATATCACTAAGTCACTTTTTTTGTTGAGCTTCATCGGATCAGTATTGTGTACTAGCCATTGGTTTGTAAAAACAAAACTGTATTGTGAAAACCCTAGTACAGACCAGGTCTGAATGCTTAGTAACCTCTTTTGTCCAGGGACAGAAACTGGAAGGGAAATGAGAAAGAGGAAATATGGAAGGTGATATAATCTCAGGCAGAAGAGGACTTTTTTTATATAAAAAAGCAGAGATAGAACTGAAACTTTTGTTTTTCTGACATCCTTTTGCCAACTCCTCACTTGCCCCGCCACCTCAGAAGGTGAAAATGAACCTAATAGACGTGCTACTGGGAGTCATTACCTCAGCACCTAATTGGGCGACCAAGGCCCCGTTTGTATAGGTTATACGGTTTGCAATTAACCTGCATAACGGTGTGTGATCATGAATCTCCTGAGTATCAAACCTCCCACTCCTCCTGTCTCAGAGCACTGTGTAACTACTGCACTCTCCTCTAATCAAAGCAGGTTTGGAGCATCTTTCTTAATATATTTGGCAAAGTAATGATGCAAAGTAACTCCAAGAGTGGCTCAGGAATTACCAAAGGGAGACACAACTGTTAGTTTTGTCAGAGTAAATGTGTGAGAGTTGTTATTTAAAAATGATGAGCTGCTTTGTTCCTGACTCTCTGTGTAAATTTCTTATATATATTTTTTTCTTTTCCTGCTTAGTTGATGGCTTGGGAGCCCAGCAGAGAGGACCAGGTTACTATGGTAACAGTGCGACCTAACTTCCAGGATAGCGTCCATGTAGGATACGTGACAGGTCTGAAGAAGTTCACTGAGTATTACACCTCGGTGCTGTGTTTCACTACGCCTGGAGACGGCCCCCGCAGCCCGCCCAAAGCTTTGAGGACACACGAGGACAGTATGTGACTTTTCTACTCCTATTTTCTTTCTGCTTTGGTGGAACACTGAGTATCATTGGGCAAAAATCCATTTCTCAAGTGGAACGATTTTTAGACACCTTCTAATAAATGAGTGTAGGCTGCATCCAGACACTGCCATTATAATTATGGAACGGGCTCCTGAGATTTTATTAGGCTGACTCGTAATTGTAAAACTCGTAATTTACTTTAACTTGTCAACTTTTTTGACAGACACTGTTCAAATACAAAAGGCTTTCACTTACTGTGCAGCAAAGTCTAATAACTCATCAGTAGTGGGCCCTATTGTGAAGCGCTTTTTTTTTTCTTTTCAGTTTTGACTAAATATGTCAGAAAACTTGCCTGAAGAAAAATCCTTGGCAACTTGACAATTCTTTCTCCGAATTAAATTCTTGTAGCTACTTATCACCTTCCTGTCACATTGTCTAACTATCTATCACAAGTTTCACCCCGACTTTCTTTGTTGTTGAATGTATTTATTAAGTTATACATACATTAAAGCTACTTTTTAAGTTTTGCTGCTAATCCCTGCTTTTTCTGGTTAAAATTCAATAACATACGCTTTTTTTCAATCTGACCTTTAAAAAACCCTTGGCAAATCTTTTGTGCTAATTTGAAGAATTTCCTCGACCTGCTTCTCAGCTAAGTGCATTGTAAGTAAAACCTTGGCCTGAAGCCTATTGTTGCAGGTTTTTAGTCTTCTAAAGACTATTTAGAACTGAGCTCTTTGAAAATCTGAGAAGTTTTGTTCATGCTTTGTCCCTTTCTGTTAACACGACGTAAAGTTAAATATGCTGGATGTCCTTACCAACACTCACTCAAAGTTGGTGTATTTGTTTGCTAGGTCTTAAGAATCAGGTTCATGTTATCATTTTATTTTTAATATTCCCATCTCTAAACCACTTGGCCCTGATCCTAATCCTTTGTCCTTCTTGTTTAGCTCCTGGACCAGTGGGTCACCTGAGTTTTACCGAGATTCTAGACACTTCCCTCAAAGTCAGCTGGAGTGATCCCAGTGAGAAGAATGGAATCCTCACAGGTACTTTTCCATTGTTCCCGATCTGAAACGGTGAAGGACACAATTGCAGGAGGCACAACTAAGATGAAGCTTCAAATTTTTAGCAGGTGTTTGGCCTCATTTGGTGACCGTGCTACACATTAGCTCTGCAGCTGGTTTCATTTAGCACCTCTACTTTATATTTTGCTGTTGATTTAGGTCACAAAGCTACAACAGCAAGACACCCACACTTATAAAACAGCAAAAAAGTAATTGCAGCTGTGTAGCTCAGGTCTTTGTCCAAGCTCTGCACGTAAGTCTCTTACTCAAAGGCATTTCTTTCAGACAAACCTCCCCAGAGAGACAATTAAATAAGTTGAAACAAAGAATGTTGGTGCACCTGAAAAAAAATCTCTTTTTCTCATAACTTCTAGAATAGATGGTGCTTTTAAAAGACTTTTCCGATGTACAAGTATTTTAGGTTTGTGCACTGATTAATATGATTTAGTTAAACAACATGCTTTTGGAACATAATGGGAGAATTAGTCAACTCAAAAACACAGATATCTGTTTACTGACAGCCCAGGGTGAAACACATACTTTCAAATAAAAAAAAAGTCTTTTTAGTATTTACTAGATCTAGCAAGATTTCTTTCTCAGAAATACTATAATGTGCAGATTGTTATGAGAAACACATACATATCAACTGATAATATTGATCTGAGAGGAAATGCAGCATAATGTTTTAATACAATCACGTGAAAAGAGCTGCCGGCCATGGAGTCAACTGCATTACCTTGAAAGGCTGTGTGATTTAATGTAATATTTTAAAATTTTTGGACGATGTTTATTCGTTTTCTTCCCTCACAGTCAGTGTTGAAGTAAAATGATTATTTAGGATTATTTCCTGTCTTCATTGACGATATATCACTGCTGTTTTTCAGGTTATCGTATTTCATGGGAGGAATTCAATCGCACTAACACCAGAGTCACTCACTACCTACCCAACGTCACCTTAGATTATAGAGTCACAGGACTCACTGCTCTCACCACCTACACCATTGAAGTGGCAGGCATGACCTCCAAAGGCCAGGGCCAGCTGTCATCATCAACCATCTCCTCTGGTGTCCCACCAGGTCAGTAACCAAACTGTCGAAAGAAATAATAGGGAGGTGAGAGTGGGACAGGATTTCTACAACAACTGACGATGGATATACTATTTAGAACAGAACAGAATAATATAATTTGCATGTCAGTATTTGTAAGACTAAGAACAGATTTTTCTAAACAATTCATTCATTCATTAACAATTTAATGTAGATTTGAATTCTGCAGATGTGTTGTTCACTTTTAGCATCTTACCTACAAATAATCTGGTTGAATAGATGAAAATGAAAAATCAATCATTATATACAATTAAAATAAGAAACTGAAAGAAATCAGACAGATATTTACAGGTCTATTTCTTATCACCATAATGTCCCAGACATTCTAACCGTGTTAATAATGTCAACTTTGAAAAATAATCCTTGTTTTGCAAGAGCATTCTTGTAGGTTGTGCACTCACATACAGCATATCTGTACCAACGTTTCTTTATAAAGTGTTCATACTGTACATTGTGATATACATTTTTATTTCATTTTTTATTTAAAGACTCTAGCCCAGCTCATTCTTGATGACATCATGGCAATTAATTATTTTTTATTCCTGGTCTTCATGACTATTTTCTGCTGTTTTACTGCTTTGTATAAAACTTGGCCAATGCCTAGTGTGTTTTCTGGCGCCAGGCACACAGAAGTCAAACCCAGGTCACTTCAGCAGAGACAGAAAATAGTTAGACACTAAAAGTTATATATCTACCCCCTCACCTCACCCTTAAACTCACTGAATAAGAGCTCCCACAGGAGCATTAAGGATAGCTAAGGAGTTTAACGATTTCAGTTTTTGCAAAGCAGTCTAATAGAATTACAATGCTCATGTCAATTAAAGCCTGGACCTCAGTGAAAACCTGTGAAATGACGGGCTGTTAATCTGAGTGGAGGCTGGAGAAGTAGCAGTCATCGTCCTCTCAGCCCTATATGTGTGAAGTAAACTTTCACCTGTATTTGCAGTGATCCAGCTCTTAACCACCTGAGTAATGTGTAGGTCAAACACTGACATGGTGTAGGACCTGCATTCTGTTACCATTTCAGATCAACACACACAGATTGAAGTGAAACTAGCTCTTTATCCCTGCAGGTGTGGTTCTATTTTATCTTTAATAATAGGGCCTCTGTCCACACTCCCATACGTCATTCTCTAACGTTCATATCTTCAGATTTATGTGAATTATATTGAATTCCAAAACAGAAGTACATTCTGGTAGGTGTTGAGTTTGTCCCCGGGGAAGCATAATGTGAAAAATAAGAGATGAAGAATTAATTATGTATGAGTGCAGCAGTCGTGGCACAACTACACAGATGAACACCCATCACCGGCAGTCAAATATAACATTCCTCTGCTTAGAATTGCTGTTTCTTTATATATTCATCGTTGCCAGGTTGTTTTCTCACCCAGAGTTTTTGAGTATGAATGTATTTCCTATTTACTGAGCTCAAGTATAAACAACAGAATATCAGATGTAATCCATAGGTCTAGATGACTGCAGTGTAATTGACATTCACGGTTCACGATTCACGGTTGTGCACAGTGTGTAAGCATTTTTAAAATTCAATTCAATCCTCTTTTGGGGAAGTTGAACTTACAATATAAGAATTCAAGTTGAACTGCTGGAATACATTTTTGTAGTATCTGTACAACCAGCAGAGGGAGCTGTTGTTGATAGATTTTACAAGAAGAAACCTTTTCAAAATGTAAAACTCTTTTGATTTTCACACTCTCTGCTCCTCCTCAGAACTCCCTGGTCCTCCTACCAACATGGCTATTACCAACATCGGCCCACGTTCTGTCATCCTGCAGTTCAAACCTGGCTATGACGGCAAGACCTCCATATCGCGATGGCAGGTGGAGGCTCAGGTGAGGCCGATTTGTTGCAGTCCTGCAGCTCCTAGTTTTAAACATATTGATTTAATGGTGTGTTTTAAAGGTCAAATGTTTTTTTAATACCTTCTGTGTGTCTCTGTCCAAGGTTGGTGTTGTAGGAGAAAACGAGGACTGGGTGATGGTCCACCAGGTGACCAATGAACCTGAAGCCCGCTCATTAGATGTACCTGGGCTCAACCCATACACCTTCTACAGGTAACCTAACAGACACTGCTTTTGCTAATGAATACACATTCAGCAAATGCCTAATTATATTTGTTCTAAATATATACGACTCACACAGGTGATTGCACCTGACATTCACCTTTTCACCTTTGTAATCTCTAATTATAGAATCAGCGTGGTTGTCACGGGTGGTGTACATATACAGACAGCCATGTGCATTTTACACATCAACCCATTCCAGTGGAGGAGTGATGACTGTGAGAGGAGCTCAGGGGGAAAGTGGGAGTGGAATCTGCAATCCACTTTTAAGAAATTCAAACCTCAGAAAATGTTTTCTAATTTTGGGCATTTTCTGGAGTTAAACAATCACTTGCTGATCTACCTGTTGCACATAAACCGTTTTGTGTCATAAAATTCCACTTTCCTTTGTTTTATCTTGACATAGTCTTAAAAAGCACGTCTGAAAAGATTTTCATAGTTAGAATTTATAAATGCTACCAAACAAGAGCCGTGACTCTGAATGATATTCAATAAGCTGTGTTTACAAAGTAAATGTGCGAAAATACTCTAGTAATAAGAAGCACAGAGGATGTTCAGAACACACTGTCGTAGAACAGTGATCTAAAACGTGTTGTTTGCCAGTAACTTGTTAATTTGATCATATAAGTGAAGTGCATATTTCTACAGTTTTGGACTAAAGATGGGGGGGGGGGGGTAGTGATAATTTTCTCTAATTTACAAGCATTCATTATTGCACTGCCATCTGCTTTTTCCATCATCACAATCCATTACCATTTCACAGAGACAGTCCCTGCAGACCTTGGAAAGCTATAGTTTTCATCACTTTGTAATCAGTGTTGCCACTTTACATTACAGTAGATGTTAAGATTTAGGTTGTTTTTTTTTTTTGTTTTGGTTTTGCACACCCGTGACAAAACACAAATAAACTGTCTGTGCTCTTAGCATATTCCTTTTGTGTTCATAATCAGTGTGATGTACTCAGTTGACAGTCAGTAATGTAAGTGGGTGATTACTGCAATTACACCAACACGTCTAGACACATCTGGACCCATTCTGCTTTCTGTTGAAAAAGAACTTTCCTCTTGGCAAAGTTATCCTCTCATAATGCATAACTCTAAATACTACACAGGTTCCGCATGCGCCAGGTGAACATAGTTGGAACCAGCCCTGCTAGCCAGCCTTCTAGAAGAATCCAGACCCTCCCTGCTCCTCCTGACATGGCTCCTGTCAATGTTACTCTGCGTACTGCAAGTGAGACCAGCCTCTGGCTACGATGGATGGTAAATCATCAGATCTGCTGGTTTGTGTATTCACTGTTTCTGTCAAGACATATTAACCACTCATTCCTGTCCTTTCTCCCTTTTCTTCATTTCAGCCTGTGCCTGAATGGGAATACAATGGGAATGCAGAGCAGGTGGGCTACAGAGTTCAGTACTCCCGTGTAGGGTCACAGGCCCGGGCACTGATCCATGTCATTGCTGACCGTCTGGAGAGAGAATTTACCATAGAGGACTTGGAGGAGTGGACGGAGTATGAAGTCAGAGTGCAGGTTGTCAACGGTATTGGAACAGGGCCCTGGAGCCCGCCGGTCAGAGGGCGGACCAGAGAGTCTGGTGAGTTAGCAGCTCCACTACATTCATCTGCTGTGAACAATACTGATTTATTGAGGGAAAACGTGCCTAAACACCTTGGACCAAAGAAACAGAGTTGTAGTTCGCACTTTGCTTTATGTTAGACGTAAAAGTTTTCCAACACAGATGCCCTCCTTGTAGCAGCCCCTCCTCTATTTCAGAACACTTTCCCCTCCTCACCAGTAGTGAAGTACTGAGGAAGGAGTAAAGGAAGGAGCATGAGGAAATTGAGAACACATGGACTTGAATGTGGAATTCCTGCTCTCTTTTTTTCCACTTACTCCAGCAAATTCTTAGGAATCAGTCCATTCTGTCGGGGGATAAGTGCCAAGGAAGAGAGACGACCTATACCAGCAATCCTTTCTCTTTCTCCCAGCCCTGCAGGGAACACCACAATATCAAAGCCGATGTGTGCAAACAAACACAAATGATAAAACCGCAGCTTCTCTCAATCAGCTTTTCTGCCACACACCCACATCCACATCCACATGATGAATACGCACAACTGTAGTGTGGAAAATTGTGTTTTTCAGAATCTATGGCAAACAATGGCCTATTGGTGCACAGTGTTTTTACTCTGTTTCCTTTTGATTCACAGTTCCCTCCTGTGGACCCACCAACGTGTCAGCCTTTGCCACGACCTCCAGCAGCATCCTAGTGCGCTGGTTTGAAGTTCCAGAGCCAGACAGAAACGGTCTCATTCTGGGCTACAAGGTCTGTTTTGTTCTTTTTTTTTAATCATCTCCTGCCTTTGGTTTTATTTGCTCTGCAGTGAAATACATCTATAAATGTTACTGCCAGCTTTTTTAGGCAGAACATAAAACGTTATAGGAATTCATTTCCCTGATCTCCTGTCTCCCCCTACGGACCAGGTGGTGTACAAAGAGAAGGACTCTGACAGCGCAGTCCGCTTCTGGACAGTGGAAGGAAACGCCACCCACAGCGTCCAGCTAACTGGTCTGGGAAAATATGTTCTGTTTGAGATACAAGTTGTAGCCTTCACTCGGATAGGAGACGGCCGGCCCAGTTCTCCACCCATCCTGGAAAGAACTTTGGATGATGGTATGTCTTTAGATTAAGCTGTGGTTCACAACTCCAAGTGACGTCGTGTAAAAAAAAAAAGTTGGTTGTTAATTCTGTCAACAAATGACATCTACAGAAACCATTAACTCTGTATTAATTTCCCTTTTCTGCAGTGCCTGGACCTCCAGTTGGTATCCTTTTCCCTGAGGTCCGGACCACTTCAGTTCGCCTCATTTGGCAGTCACCCTCACAGCCCAACGGCATCATACTTGGTTAGTATCACATGCACAACAGCATGTCCTCCTATTGATCTATTAAGTCAATGAAACGTATCCGTTGCTCATATTCAGTGGACCCTCGGTCCCAAAAGGTTCACTTCCTGGAGACTCTTGATGTCTCTTAGTTTTCTTTTTTAATTTGATGGACTTATGGGTAATATGAGGTGGAGGAACTCAGATCTTGTTATCTTCCAGAATAGCTGTAGAGGGAGTCCAATTCTTGTATTAACTAATAGGGAAATCCCATTGGAGTGTTTGATTCATTAAACATCTGTCAGATCATTCATTTTTAAACTGCAAAATAAGACAGAGCCACACAGCAGCATGCAGCAGCAGATGCTGAATTAATTATTTCTGACAGGACAAAGCTGCTGTTGTATCGGCTGGAAAAATCAGATACAAACAAGGAATCCTTAAAAAACAAAACAAAAATAAATTTCTCCACCCTAATTTAATTCACCAATATACAGAATAAGAAGTTGTTTGTCTGCATGTCTTTCTCCAGCCTACCAGATCACGTACCACCTCAACTCCACCAATAGCAACATGGCCACAGTAGACGTGCTAAGCCCCAGCGCTCGCCAGTACACGGTGACCGGCCTGAAGCCAGAGTCCATCTATGTGTTCCGAATCACAGCACAGACCCGGAAAGGTTGGGGTGAGGCTGCGGAGGCCCTGGTAGTCACTACAGAGAAAAGAGGTAAACACAAACGTACTGTGTGTGTGTTCTGTACATTTGATACAGCATCAGTATCTGTACTCATGTTTAACAAAGTGTGGTAATATTTAAAACTGTGGCAGCAAGAGAGAAAATTATAAACTGTTAGAGGTGTATATATATATATAGCTCTGGGAGAACAGACACACCAGAACCAGCTGTGTGATCTTTACAATGGCATGTCTTCATAGCCCTGACTTCATTCTCACTTAACGCTCCAGTGACCACATGTCTTTCCTACACAGTGTTTGTGCCCTTCGGGTGTCAATCACACACTCTGACGTAATCTCCACAGTGAATCAATGTGTCTGCTTCCTTCAAGGCATGTTGGCGACTGTGTATATGGCAGCTATATTTTGTTAGCAGCTCTTTGCTCTACACCTTTGTACCTTGTCTGTGAAACGATGTGACTGTGTGTGAACAATAAGAAAATAACAAATCTGTTTTTCACAGTGGCAGAACGTGTAACTTCATCATTTTGTTGCCACTTGTTTTGACTCCATGCTGTGTTTTTAACAAGCCTTTATCTTTGTTCTATTTTTCCAGCACGTCCACAGCCGACCAGTCGACCCACGGTTCTTCAGAAGGACGTTCAGGCCCGTCAGGTTTTGTTGTCCTGGGAGCCGGGCAGTGATGGCCTGTCCCCTGTTCGTTACTACACAGTGCAGCTTAAAGAGCTTCCTGAGAACAACTGGACTGTCCATTCTGCATCTGTCAACCACGAGTCAGCCTCCTACATAGTCTCCAGGTAAAGATGAACCAACTTGAAGCTAGTATTCACTAAGAATGATTTACTTGGGAGACAACTCCTGTCTGATTACAGTCTGGTTTAGGATATGTAATGGTTTGTGTGCAAGCTTCTACCTGTCTCCATGCAGAAATGTCTTTTTGATGTATGTTACTCGTTGAAGTGTTGTAGGATCTGAGGCACAGTAGTCTCTCATTAAGATGAATGTGTTTGTACCTCTGTCCTCTCTAAGGCTAAAGCCCTTCACGTCGTATCGGTTCAGAGTTAAAGCCACCAATGACATAGGGGACAGTGAGTACAGCCAGGAGAGTGAGGCCATCACCACCCTACAGGATGGTAAGATTTTAGTTAACACATCCAGTTTCATTAAGCTGTGCTACTATGTTATTATTAAATATTAAAGGCCATTCTGATGCTACTTAGACTGTAAACATCCCTTCACATCTAACCAATCACAGCTGAATCAAATAAATCGCCCATCTAATCTGCTCAACTGTAAAAATGTCAGGGTTTCAATTAATCCATTCAATATAAACTCATTTATTCAATATGAAGTATAGAAATGTGACATACATTTATTTTACAAGAATTCAGTAATGAACATTTAATCTGGAAAGACTATTTTATTTATATGGTCTATAGAAATTAGACTAAATATATGAACATTACAAGCTAAACAAGCTACATAATCAACAATGGTTCCAGACTGTTAGTTTCTTCTCTGCTGCTAGATTACTGCTTTTTACTGGTACTTTTTACTATTGTGTAACTGGAGGATATCCCAATGATTTATTTTTTTTCTAGTTCCAGTAACTATGTTCAGTTGTCTGGAGTGTACCCTCCCCTTGGTGCCTTGGATGATATGGGGTATATGTAAATATAAGTCATGGGATCAACCAAACTACTGAACAAAGCTAAACTCATAGTCATGAAAATATGTTGCTAATAAAGAAATTGATACCTATCATCCACATCAAAAAGTTTGGACAGATGCGAGTTTCCCATTGAGTTACATCCCTATTTCTATTATGAGAACTTTTAATTCATTTAGGAACTGTAGATACTAATCATTGCTTTTTCCTCCGTCTCAACTTTTTTGAACTGCCTTTTTCTTCTCATTCCATTTTTCCTTTACCAACTTTCTATAGTGGGGTTTGAATTACATTCAGCATTTTGTAATTTATTCTTGTTGCATAAGTGAAGGCATATGGCTGCTTCTTGAAACAGTCAAAAGAGTTAACTGTCAACTGTATAAATTATCCAATTGTTTAGACACGATTGGCAAAGGCCCCTGGTGATGTAATGCAATGTCTTCAGTTACCATTGGACATAAGGGCAGCATTAAAAACCCTGGCAACATTTTCCCACCAAGGAGACGTTTGCTCCACTGATCCTTCCAGCTGCTATTTTTGACTCATCCGTCAGTGGCTGTTCTTTTGTAGCTCCTCTGATTTTATGTCCCATGAATGCCACTGCACAGGGACAGATGAGGCATCATGAAATGAGCACATTTTAAGGTCAATTGAGCTCATTTATCTTGCTTTTTCTTTTTTATCAGCGCCCGACGAAGCCCCTGCAATCCTTTCCGTCACTCCGCACACAACAACATCCGTGCTGATCCGCTGGCAGGTGAGTGAGTCCAGACATTGTGGCTGCATTTTTTCAGTTTCATTGTTCCCAGACTGCACTAAATTCTGAGAAAAGTAGCCTCTAATTGTGAGACCAAGGAAAGGCCTGTACACACAGCCTGGATGGTACTCACTTTTACACACACTATTTTGGCTAATAAAAAAATAACCTTTCTCACACTCTCAGCCAAATTAACAGGTCATAAAGAAAAAAAGACAGGAGGCTGCATGCAACAATTTCACTTTTATGGAGAACCCTTGTAGCGTTTATAAGGATAGAGTGGTAGTTGTTTGCTGCTTCCCCATGTTTACTTTCACCAGCAGGTCTCTTCAGTTTACTGACTAAAAACCAGAAAGGATTTGTAACAAAGAGGAACTTTATTGTGAAGGATACCACTATTTATTTTGTAGTACTAAAAGACTTAAGTGTTCAACATTCCACGTGACTGTTTTTTTGGTTGTTTTTTAAATGACACCAAGCCCCCCTCTGAGGAGAAGATCAATGGAATCCTCCTTGGTTTTCGGATCAGATACCGTGAGCTGCTCTACGACCGTCTACGCAGCTACTCTGTTCACGCCATCAGCAGCATGTCCACCTGGGCTGATCTCACTGGTGAGAAAGTGCAGCCGACACAAAACACAGTTTGTCACACTTAATTACATGTTACGGGACAACTGTGGGTATGTTGCACGTACAGTGCTGTGAATGTGCCGTTTCCCAACACTTTGATGGAGAACTATGACTATGCACAGTGTCCATGTTACGTCTATATGAGTCAGCAGAGAGAAACTTTCACACAGGCCTATTCAGGATCCCTGCCGGTCCCGATTATCCACAGTGTGTGATCAGTGGTAGTATCAGCTGCAGCTAATATTAGGTTTACTGAGCAGTCGATCTGTTTGTATTGCTGTTCCTGAGAAAATTAGTCTGTAATTTTGCATCGCAGTGCGAGACTGTGGGAATCCTTTTCTCTTCACAACAACGACACCACCTTGTAGTAATAGTATACGACAATTTTACCTCGATGTTTAGAAACATGCTCCATAAATTAAGCACATTGGTGATAAATTAGTGATTTATATAAATCGTATCCTCTAACTTATCCTCTGACATTTTTAACAATGGCTGCTGCATTGAATATAGTGCTATAACACAGACTACACACCTTTAATGGAGTCTCTGCACTGCCTTCTTCTAATTTAACTTTTACTGTTACCTCTCCCCTACAGCCCCCTACAGTATCTGTAACCTCAGTGACTCAAGTCTGGTCCAGTATGAGTTGGACAGTAAGTTTTCCTCTCAATCTCACCTACCTGTACTCAAGTCTGTCTTTGTATTTAGTCGTATGTCTGCGTCTCTCAGCTGTGTTAAAATGGTCACACAGGAAATATAACTCACACACCAGCACAGCATATTTGTATAATCATACTCCTACAAACACTTTAACTGAGGCCTTCAGCAGTATTTTGTGTACCAAATACACTGGACACAGAGTACACAAGCACACTGCTTCAGCATGGTCACTGGTTTGCACGCCTGCTTATCTGTCTATTAAAAACACACACAGATGCTCAGAAGGTACAGCTGACAGAATATTCCTGTTTTAAAGACGACATGATTGCAGTGTTCTTTCTACAAATACAGGCACAATTATCAGTTGAATTCATGCTGCCTTCCTTTTCTTGT